ATTTTTTTTCCCCCTGATTTCAGCTGGCCATACACGTGTAGATTTCAGGCCGAGAATATCAATAAGAAAAGTCATACGAAAATTGTTTGCACATTCGATGAATGGATGAATGTCGTTCGAAAATTGTCTTTTGCTTTGAACATTCGATTTTAAAATGAATGTCATTTCTGAATGAGAACCACAAACACTGGCCAAAAATGTGTTTGAAGAACAAAAGTTTTCCTTCCTGCCCCTTCAAATTTTTCTGTCACTGCTGTCAAAAACAAACGTCAATTTCACCCCACTAATGGTTAGAAAATCAAATGAAGATTCCTGAAATTAATACTCTTGGACAAAAATCTACATGTGTATGGCCAGCTTAACTTTTTGAATTTTTGAGAATTTGGTTGAAATCTTTTCGATTTCGAACGACTTTTTGAAGTTTGTTGAATCAATTTCGAATTTGGTTGCACTAATTTTCAAATGTGAATGACTTTTCGAATTTGGTTTAAATGTTTTCAATTAGAATTTGAATACCAATTACCAAAACGAATCCCGAAAATGATTTGAACGAATTAACTGAATCCAACTACACACAAAATGTGTGATTTTGAATCGAAACAAAACAACTTTTTTCATTTTTCACATGTCTAAAAATGCCTTCAAATTTGTAAAACTACTCCACTCTGATTTTGTTCAGTTTTTCCAAACATTTCCACATTCTCCATAAAAAAAATGGAAAATAAAATGTTTCCACATAGCTTCAAAATCTGGAAATTTTACATCTCTAAAGGTAGATATTGATTGTCCAAGGATGGTAGGTGTCAAAGTTGTGGAACCTTCCTGTGACAGGTTGTATTTATTTATTTATTTCAGATACTTATATAGTGCAGTCAATTTACGCAGCGCTTTACATATGTATATTGTACATTCCCATCATTCCCTAACCCTCAAGGGGCATACAATCTAAAGTCCCTAACTCACATTCATACATACACATACTAGAGCCAATTTACACAGGAGCCAATTAACCTACCAGCATGTCTTTGGAGTGTGGGAGGAAACCAGAGTACCCGGAATAAACCCACACAGGCACAGGGAGAACATGCAAACTCCAGGCAGGTGGTGCCGTTGTTGGGATTCAAACCAACAGCCCTAGTACTGCCAGGCGGAAGTGCTAACCATTTAGCCACTGTGCTGCCCTTTGTAAGAAGTAATTAAGGACTTTTGCTTTAATGAGCTTACACATTTTCATATGGAGGAGAAGATCATCAAATTCCATTTCTAGGTCTTCAATTACATAACTAAACAATGGTCTTGGAAAGCATTTTCCTAACTCAATCATCATTTTCATCACATTACGCTTGCTGCATAACAGCACAGATGGCTTGGTGGAGGTTGCAGTGGTAAGAAAAAAAATGTTGCACGCTTTTGGCATAAAGCTAAAAATACATTGTATCCTCCAGTGAAGTTCCATTTGTATTAACAATGACAAGCTGCAGTGTTTGAGGGTTTTTCTTGGTAATTAAATATTGGTAAATAGAGATCTTCACCACTAATATAGCCTTTAAAGGAAGGAATTTTAAGGTCTTCTTTTATTGCAAAGTCACTGAAAACTATTCTAGCTTCTAGAGCTACCCGTGAATTGTCTGTCTCATCAGAATCAACAAGTCAAAAGGAGAAAAAAAAAGCAACGGGCAACCAAGTCTTTTTTCAATTGTGAAACTACTGAAATGGTTTTAGCTGTTGTTGTAACTGCTCTCGCAGAAAGATAAAATTGAATATTTTGTTTATTTTAGACATGCTTTTATGTCAACAATGAATATATCTGTATTTTGTAAAAAAAAAGAAAAATAACCTGTATATAGCTTCTTGGTACTTAATACCGCCATCGGACATTTAGTCATGAAGTTTAAATGAGACAGAAGAGCTGCTCTCTGTATTGGGCAGCACAGTGGCTTAGCACCTCCACCTGGCAGCACTAGGGTCATTGGTTCAAATCCCAACTATAGCACTGCCTGCCTGGAGTTTGCATGTTCTCCCTGTGCCTGGATGGGTCCCCTCTAGGCAGCCTGGCTTCCTCCCACTCTGCAAACACATGCTGGTGGGTTAATTGGATCCTGTCTTGTCCCTAGTATAAGCATGAATGTGAGCTAGGGACCTTAGATTATACACCCCTTGAGGGTTAGAGACTGATGTGAATGTACAATATATATATATATATATATATATATATATATATAGCACTGTGTAAATTGATAGCAGTATATAACTACTTGAAATAAATACACAGAAACTGTACTATCCACCCTTGCTCTTCCATTCGTAGAACACTTTGTATTTTGTTAATGACTCACAGAGTACATGGTGTTCTGTGAAAGGGCAAGGGGAAACAAGGTAGAAACAACAGTGCGACTTCAAGCAGTATTAAACCCAAAAGCAAACGTTTACTTCATTGCAGCTTACTAATTTCTTAATGTGGTGGCTGCATTATTTTTCTTTTTTTTAGACTTTCTTTCTTCTATTTGCATCTGGTGATCCAGCCAGCAAGTGTGTTGTTTTTCAAAAGCACAAGCTCTCCAAAAGAATGTACCAGTTTACAGGTATTCACGTTTTATTCCAGTTTTATTTATTCACGTAAAACCTTTATCTCAATAGGAAAAATCTGTTTGTTGCAACTGATTATAAAGTGTGAACTGGAACTTGGCTTCAGTTTGTTAGTGCATCTAAATTTTCTAGTACATCTAACACTCCTCTCCCCCCAGATTGACAATGCTGTTGTCCAAAAGTGCTCCCTTCATCCAGAATGGGGGCACTCTAACACAGGAGGCGTGTTACTGGCCAGATCACCAGGTGAAAAAAAAGAGGGGCAAAGCCTAAAAAAAGACTTCTAATGCATCCACCACATCTAATGATTGGAAAGCTACAATTTATGACATTTTTGGTTTTGTGTTTAATACCGCTTTCAGTGTTCTCTTGTTGAAGTGCTGTAAGTATAGCAAAAGCAACAGTACACTGTTTAGTATCAATAACATTGTAAAGAAAGGACACCAATCCATAAGGTGGCAAACATCTCATTACAGTTAACTATTTGTTACCCAGCAGATTTAAAGCAAAATAAAAATGGTAATAATATGCTTGCAGTTCTGCTTTAAATTGCTATGGTTTCTGTTTTCTAAAGGTAGACATATGATTATGTGGATAGCAGTTTTTTTGTCTCTCTTTGAATTGTCTCTCAAAATTCCCTTTGTCGGCAAAAATAATAGCAGCTTTTCGCAATAAACAGGCACACTTGCATTCATTTCAGCAGCAAACTACATTCTTGTCCTCATTCACAATGAAAATGATGTTGTTGTTTTTGCTGAAGGTATCATATGCAAATCAGCAGACTATACATAAATAACAGTCAAAAGTTGGAACTAGTACATAAGTCAGTTAACAAAGTTGGGCATGCAGGAGACATTTCTTTATTTTCATGCAAATCAGCAGGGCGGCTATTGTGATAAATTTGACAAGAAGAAGATAGGAAACTGTTATTGTGCACAGAGGTAGCAGTGGGGCAGCTAATATGTCAGATGTGGCAGGCAGGAGGTGTGGATCCATTATCAGGCAAGTTGTTATGTTAAAGCTAAACTTTGGACTAAAAAACAACCCCTCTATAGTGTGGACATCCTGCAAGGGTTGAATGTTTGTTATTTCTAGGGGGTAAATTAACAGGCTATATTACACCCCCTACTCCCTATGCCAGTAAGCTCCAGTGCTCTCCTCTTCTCCCTGAAGCTCCAGCCCATGAGAAATTCCTCTTTGTCATCGCATACATTACAGGGCTACTAATCCTTGATTATATGTGGAGGGGTGGGCATGCAGCCGTTGAAATGAGAAGCTACAGCAACCCAGTTACACATATAGAAAGAGTTTGCTGGAGCATGGAAATGGTATTTCTGCTTATTCTGGCACCCCCAAAACATAAAGAGCATTTAAAGGAGAAGTACTGTATGGCCAACACTCTTTTGGCCATACTTCTCCTCTGGGTCACAGAAGTCCACTTTGTGCAATTAGTTATATACTTATTATGCCTATTATCGGGGCGTATCTGTCACGAGGCAAACAAGGCATTTGCCTAGGGCGGCAGTTTTCAGGGGGGCAGCACCGCTCGGCATAAGCTCGAGAGGGAGGCAGGCTCGGCATGGCTCGGGCAGGAGGCAGGCTCAGGCGGCATGGCTTGGATGAGAGGCAGGCTCGGGCAGAAGGTAGGGTTTAGGCAGGGGGGCGGACTCAGCAAGTCTTGAGCAGGGAAGGTGGGCTCGGCTTTGCCATCCTGAATTAATTACCTCTCTGTGTCTTCCCGGAGCGCTGATTCCCTGCTGTACCCACTGACATCGTTACGATCTGGCAGGAAGCCCAGACCCTGACTGACCATCGCAGCTATGCTCCCCCCACCCGGCCTCTCTATTCCATTCACTGCAAAGGGCTGGAGGGCGGAGCTTAGAGGTCAGCTGACCATGAAGAGGGGGTGCAGGAGAGGAGGCCATAGCTGCATGTCAGGTATCAGTACAGCCGCAGACACCACGGACCCCAGATAAGTGCTCCATTACTTGTCAAATAGAGTCTCCCTCTCTCTCTTCTACCCCCCTCTTCTCCCCCTCTCTTATCCCCCCTCTCTCTCTTCTCCCACTCTCTCTCTCTTCTTCCCCCCTCTCTCTCTTTCTCTCCCCCTCTCTCTCTTCTCCCCCTCTCTCTCTTCTTCTCCCCCCTCTCTCTCTTCTCCCCCCTTCTCTCTCTTCTCCCCCTTCTCTCTCTCTTCCCCCCTCTCTTCTCCTCCCTCTCTTCCCCCCCCTCTCTCTTCTTCTCCCCCCCACTCTCTCGCTTCTCCCTCTCTCTTCTCCCCCCCCATCTCTCTTCTCCCCACCTCTCCCTGTCTCTATCTTCCCCCCTCTCCCTATCTTCCCCCAGGGGCGGATTGACCATTTGGAAACTCAGGCACTGCCCGAGGGCCCGAGGTATGTAGGGGGCCCCATGAGATGCCCATGGTACCTTTTTCATAGGCTTTTTTGAGTTTGGGCAAGGACATAGGGGCCCCATGAACCCCTATTGCCCAGGGGCCCCATGAGTTGTCAGTCCGCTCCTGCCCCCCCCCACCTCTTCTCCCCTCTCCCTCTTCCTCTCTTTCTCTTCTCTCCCCTCTCTCTCTCTGCTCCCTCCCTCTCTCTCTTCTCTCCCCCCTCTATCTCTCTTCTCCCCTTCTCTCTCCTCCCCCCTCTCCTCCCCCTCTCCCCCTCTCTTCTCCCCCCTCTCTCTCCCCCCTCTATCCTCCCCCATCTCTCTCCTTCCCCCTCTCTCCTCTCTCCCTCTCTTTTCCTCTCTCTCTCCCTCCCTCTTCTCTCTCTCTCTCTTCTCCTCTCTCTCTTCTCCTCTCTCCCCCCCCCCCCCTCTCTCTCTCTCTCTCATTTTGAGCAAGATAAAAGTAATCTGGGGGCTAACAAGCCGCTGGATTACTTTTACAGGTGGCAGAAGGGCATCCCTCCCCCTCCTGCCACCGACATCTTTACCAGGCTCTATCATGCAGTCCCAATGCAAATGATCAGAATGATCTGTATCTGACTGCATGCATTGGGAGGCCAGAGGAGAGATTTGGGGTCTAATAGACAGGGACTGGCATGGCCCATACTATCACAAGGGATGTTGTTAATCCCTTGTAATAGAAATAAAGTGGATCAAAAATAGAAAGTTAAAGGTACAGTGTACAAAAGCATTTTAAATAAAGAAATAATAAAATAGCAAAAAAAAATTAAAGCACCCCCCGTTCCCCCATGCTCACACGCATATAGGTCCCTCACGCATATGTAAATGGAGATTGCACCACACATGTGAGGTACTGCTATAAATGTCAGAGTGAGAGTAAAAACTCTAGCACCAGGCCTCCTGTGTAACTCTAAACTGATAACTTGTAAAGGCTTTTAAAATGTTGCCTATGGAGATTTTTAGGTACCATAATTTTGGCACCAAATGGTATACCGTGGCTAGCGTGGGATAAATTCAGATGGTGGGGGGGTGCCCAATTTTAGTCTTGGTGGGGGGGGCGCCAAATTTTTGTCTTGCCTAGGGCAGCACAAAACCAAAATACATCACTGCCTATTATACCTGATTAAAACTTTTCTGCCGATGGCCAATTTCACACTGCTGTAACCTCTGCAGTATCTTAATTCTTGAAGAAAACATGTACCTCTGCTCGTTGTCTCTAGTAAATTTGGGTCTAGCCTTTCACATTGAGATTTTTCTGCTGCTGGCCAGTTTTACACAGCTGTGTCATTTGCACTCTTTCAAGTTATGTGCTGCTGCCAGACTCATCCACCTTACTAACCATTCCATATCTGCCATCCCTCTCTGCCAATCCCTCCATTGGCTTCCCATTGGCCAACAAATAAAATTCAAAATATTAACAATAACATATAAAACCAATTATAACTCTGCCCCAAATTACATCACCAATCTTGTCTCCAAATATCACCCAAACCATCCTCTCCGCTCCTCGCACGACCTCCTGCTCTCTAGCTCCCTTGTCTCCTCCTCCCATGGTCATCTCCAGGACTTCTCCAGAGCCTCCCCCATCCTCTGGAATTCTCTACCCCAATCTATCAGACTATCATCTACTCTGCCCACTTTTAGGCAATCTCTGAAAACCTGTCTCTTCAGGGAAGCCTATCCTGCCCTCAGCTAATAACGGAATCTTCTATTCCTCCTACCAGTCTATCCCCCACATTATTACCTTTTGTACCACCAGCCCCTCCCTCTTAGATTGTAAGATCCAAGGAGCAGGGCCCTCCTAACCCTCTTGTATTGAACTGTATTGTCTCCCTTTATATTGTAAAGAGCAAACTGTTGGCGCTATATAAATCCTGGATAATAAAAATAATAATGTAGTAAAACACCTGCCTGAACAATTTGTATATTTTAGCCAGTTCTCCCTCACTAAAAATGTCCTGTTGCTGAACAATTTTAAAAATTTCTGTATCATCTGCAGGAAAGTAGTGACCGTAAAACCCTATGTAGTTTTTTTTCCACTGAATATTTTGCTAACTACCAAATGGTATAAAGGACAGCACAAAACTTTACTGACGAGGGCTCTGGTATTTATAAATGTGTAAATAAATTGCACAACTTCAGAAGGATTTAATTAAAGTTAATCCTTTAAAATCCAGCCAAGTCTGCAGTTTGTGAAGTCAGTCATGTAAAAAATTGTTTGCCAAAGATGGCTGAATTTAAAATTTTCTAATTTCAGTATTATTTACTTATAATAGTAATTGTTGACACATAAAAAAAATGAATACAGCCACAGTGGGTCTTACTATTACCATTGGGAGTCAGCTACTTAAACAAAAACATTTTAAATGTTGCACTCTCTAGGTAAATAGAATTTGCTGGGTTTTTTTAGTTAGAGGCTCGTTAGAAGCCTGGGATGAGTCAGCCTGGGATAAATCAGCCTGGGAGTGAGGTAGTGAGTTCACCTCAGGACAAGCTGGGATGCTCTACAGATCAGGGGTTCTAGAGCCCTCCCACCCTTCCAGAAACTTCTGACACTTTCTGGAAGAGGGAAGGAGGAGGCCCAGATATGCATGTTTAGGGGAACTTGGCCAATCCCCAGACAGGAGGTTGAGCATGGTGGCCAAGGGCAACCCTTAAATATGTCAGAGCTTGTGCAGCAAGGGGAGTCCAGTGGAAGATGGATTGAAGGAAGATGATGGAGAGTGAAGTTGGGGGGGGGGGGGGGTTGTCGGGGAGAGGAGCCTACCTCCAGGCTGGTTGCTGGACAGAAGGATTTCCCCTGTGCCAAGTCTCCTAGGTGAGGACAATCCTGTCAGCAGGGAAGGAGCCAGTCCAGTGTAAGGCCTGAAGGCAGCTGCAACACACCAAGCTAATAGGACAGGACAGTGTGAATACTTCTACAACCTCTGGGCCAGAAAAAGGGAGAGGGTGGTCAGGTGACCCAACTAGTTCACATCTGGGACTCTTGGAATCCCTTGCAGCTGGATACCCTCAGTGCAGCTGGGTGAAAGAGGAAGGATTCATCTGAAGTCTGAGGAGGTACATCAAGGGGACTTCAGTGCTCCTTAAAGAAACAGTGCTATTTTTTCTGATCCACATTCTTGTACAGTGTACAGTTTGCTAAGACATTTGTCCTCAAGTTTTCAGTTCCTTGGGCATCCTAGATTCCATCCAAGTTGTTAACCCCTCAATAAAAACATAAAAAAACAGCTCAAGAACTGTTTTACTGACTATGTGTGAAGATGTGGAAAATGTGTGCTGCCTGGCCCTGCAGAGCTTAGGAAAAACCCAATCAAACTCAGCAGCTCCTGCAGGGGTAGCGATACATAAATGTATTTGCACATATACAAAATACATAATATATATCTTCATGTGCCAAGCAGGTACTAAATTAATGTGATTAAACACAGTGTACCTGCAGCATATACCCCAACCATAAAAATCATATATTCACAAAAGTAGAAAGGTTATAAGGAAATTCTACATTAAAATGTTATATATACCTACATACACAAAACACACATTTTATATATATATATATATATATATATATATATATATATATATATATATATATATATATATATCTTACGTGTAGATATAAATCCCTTCTCCAAATTTCTGACAGTGTACAACAAAGTAAAACAAAGACTGACAACCAGCCACATATCATACACTCCTTCATTCATCAAACAGACCAAGGTGAGTAACACCAGGCACCAGCACTAAAATTACATCTACTGGATGGCAAATACAGTATGCCACAGCAACATTTCTACTTAGTCTTGCAGCATGATGTCTAGGGAAGAAAACAACATAAACATCATGGTTCATAAGAGCAAGTCAATGTAAAAAATCACAGGCTCCATCTACCACCTGGAGTAAATATCATTGACATAGAATAATTTAAAAGGTGCAGGCACGTGTACTTTCTTCAGGAGACACTGTTGCGCTGAATTCTTACATGAATCATACATGACCTCAGTGTGTTTAAAACACATAATTCAGGAATCCACTTCTGAGAAATGGGCCATGAATAAATAGTCTGTAGGCAGGTAACATTATTGTGCTAGTAACTATGCCAAATATGAGCCTCTGACCAGGGGCGGACTGACAACTCATGGGGCCCCCGGGCAATAGGGGATAATTGGGCCCCTGTGTCCTTGCCCAAACTCAAAAAAAACCTATGAAAAAGGTACCAGGGGCATCCCATGGGGCCCCCTACTGACCCCGGGCCCTCGGGCAGTGCCCGAGTTTCCAAATGGTCAGTCCGCCCCTGCCTCTGACTTATGTAATCACCACAAATCCTCAGATCTGTGCTCATTGCACAATAACTGTAAGCCCAAACTGCTCTTCCATCCCACAAAGGAACATCAACCACCTGCTGATAGTTCACAATAAATATACTGCAGCAGGTGCAGGCACAATCACATGCCTGTACTTCAGCTGACTCTTCTGGGTTCGGCGGAGCGCGTGTACATGCCCTCTGCCAACCCATGCGGTGATTGGACACAGTATGAGTTTGGCAGCTGATTTCAGCCAATAATTTTGGCTGAAGTCAGCTAATTGGCTGTGGCCAATAACACACAGAGTTCTGTGTTTTACAAAAACACAGACCTCTATCTGCAGGGAACAGCGATCTGGCTGTTTCTACTCCATGCAAAGCAGGGAGAATAAACAGCCAGATAGTAAAGTAAAAGCAGCACACATTACACATTGTTAGGTATACAGTTAACACCTTGATTGCCCCTAGATGTTAACCCTTTCCCAGCCAATGTTATTAGTACAGTGTCACTGTATAGTATTTACAGAGTTGGTAAGGTTGAATAAAGACACCAGTCCATCCAGTTCAACCTGTATGGATGTGTGTGTGTTCATATCAGAATCTTTGCCTGTATCCCCGTATATCGTGTTCATCAAGATACCTGTCCAAGGTTTTTAAAACTATCAATGCTTCCTGCTAACACTGCCAATTGTGGAAGTGAGTTCCACATCCTTACCGCCCTGACAGTGAAAAACCCCTTACACAATTTAAGGTTAAAAAGCTTCTCTTCCAATTTCAGTG